GGTTGTGCCATCAGAAGTTTCCTATAAATAGGAGCTTCAGTTATAATGAAAATTGTACCTAAGAGAAATATTTTCTCTATTATCTCTCTTTCTCTCTAGTTTTATAACATTCTTCATTTTTCTTTACTGAGTTTGTTGTGTATTGAAGTTCGGCCCAATTTTGGTGAGCCGGCCCAAATATTAATCTTTTCTACGACTATTGTGGGTTTTTTTTTTTTTTCATGGTCGTCTGTCCAATTGATTGATTGAATCCTTCAAAAAATGTGGCTTTTTTAATAATAATAAAAAAAAGTACTATTGAAAATTAGAATTGCATATGATTTTTTTTTTTTAAAAACCATAATTATATTAAAAATCCAAAAAAGAGTACACCCGATATGTCGACTAACATAACTAGAACTAAAGCAAAGTATGAAATCACCTCCAAATTGGAACTACACAATCAGAGAGTAACAAGAACACTCAAAACACTATGATATAAGGAGACGAAAAAACTTCATAAATGAGACTAACAAACCAGACACAATTGCACAAAAAACTAAAACGAAAGAACATAAGAAAATACTACAACACACGCCTACACTAACAAGACGCATCTACACTAACAAGAGAATATCATCTCCTCTACATCTTACAAGCACACCGCTACGGTCATCCGACCAGCACATGGCTAAACCCCACAACGATTCAAACATGCAACAGAGAAACTAAAAGAGAGCAACAAATCAGAGGCTCCAGAACAAAAAAATTGTGAACTTACTCAGCCCATATCTCAGCTCCCGCAACCTTTAGTCGGGAGAGAAACAGGCGCCGGGGAACGAAAGCAACCAAGCAGGTGACATCAACCAGACGAGGAGGACCGCCAACACCACCTTCTCACCTGCAACAATCGATCACCGACCTCCGAGAGAAAGACGTGACCTAATTCCACCACTGTCAGATCCAAAAGGGTCGGTCGAAAATCAAAGGCACAAAATAGGCGACGACTTAAACGTCTACGCTAGCAATTCCATGGTCGAAGCGACTGACAGAGAGGCGGAAGCATCCCACCACTCCTCCTCATCGGCGAGAACCTCCCCCATGCCACAAGGCGCAACCCAAACATGGTCTCACGATAAGGAAGGAGAAGGGTGGCTCTAGTGGCGGCACCGCTTGGACGCATTAGCGACTTGAAGAACCGTAGAGGTACATGAAATTTCAGCTTTTTTTCTAATTTTTATTATTTTATTGATAACAACGCTTCAAGTCATAAATCAATAGTTTCAGATATTACGATTCACAATTACAATTTCAATTTTTAAATTTGAAATTAATAGTTGAACATCATGTCCTAAAATGTCATACTATTTTATACTAAAATTTTGTTACAGTTTTGATATGAAGTCATCTGATGACTCGGGGGCCTAGCCAAGGATGCGACCTCAACCGCCTCAAGGGTGGGGTTCAAGGCTTTTAGAGCTAAAGGCTTGGGCTTCCGCTGGATCAGGCAAGAAGAGGCCGTCGGCAGTGACGAGAAAAAATGTGTCAATAATATTGAAGGCATGTTTCTGAATAGAGAATGCAGTGTGTGCTATGATTGCCCCAGATGTATATGCACTCGAACTATGGATTCTCTTACTAAATCAATATGCACTCCCTTATGAGTCATGCATAGTTATTCACAAATCGTATATTGGCACGTGTCCTACAATAAATACACTTTGGACAGATGTCAATGTATTAAGTAATTGATGGCTTCATAAGAAAACCATCCGATGACTCCATAAAATTTTTGATTTTTTTTTTTTTTAAACAGACACCTTCCGGTTTCCGGATCTACAAGGGAACCGACTAATCCGGAATCGAGCCGGGTAGGACCACAAGGGCGGCAAAGCTCTCCCTCAAGAGTTTTAACACTGCTGCATTCTCAGGAATCGAACACGAAACCACTGGTTAAGCTGGAAGAGACCCAAACCATCTCATCCAAGCGCTCTTGATTAAGCCATTTCCCAAAAAGATTAAAAAATAAAATAAAAAAAATCAAATGCACTTCTCGTTCATGTAGTCAAACCACACGACGTCGCTTTATTTTTGGCGAACCCTTGGAACAAATTCAAATTAACCTCAAAAGTCAAAACCAGCATTTTCCACACACACGCACACCGCCCATTAACCATTGCCACCAAACTCTTTATCTCTCTTCAATCTCCCACAGCCTCACCGTCCGGAAGCCAATCCGGCGAAATGTCGTCGAGCCAGCAGGTCAAGGCGTCGCATATACTCATTAAGCACGAAGGATCCCGCCGGAAATCCTCCTGGAAGGACCCCGATGGCCGCCGCATCTCCGCCACCACCAGGGACAGCGCCGTCGCCCAGCTCAAAACACTCCGCGACGACATCCTCGCTGGTAAGGCGAGGTTCGATGACGTGGCTTCTCGATTCTCCGACTGCAGCTCGGCCAAGCGCGGCGGCGATCTCGGTATCGTTTTT